AAGAAAGAAAGAAAGGAAGGAAGGAAGGAAGGAAGGAAGGAAGGAAGGAAGGAAGGAAGGAAGGAAGGAAGGAAGGAAGGAAGGAAAGAAGGGAAGGGAAGGGAAGAAGGAAGGAAGAGTCGGGGGAAAGAAGGAAGGATGGAAGGAAGGAAGAAATGAAAAAAGCAAGTCAACTTTGTGTTATCTATATACTTGCTAGAACATAGTCAAATTTTTAGTGGCTGGCCCCTTAAATAGAACTGAGACATTCCCCTCACATACCTCCATCAGAACCCATCAGTTGTGGAGGAGAGTGCTACTCTTCTGCATCTCCATCCCACTTTTTAAGAATTCTCTTTGGTGGCTTCTTGTCTAGGTTGTTACTTTGGGAGATGGGGTGTAGGGGTTGTCACAGAAGCCTTCCATGATCCTCGCTCTCAACTGTGCATCTATGGTCATCAATAACATGGCAAAGGTGGTCTCCTTGCTCTTCACAGTCAGCCAGATCATGGATCATGGGCCTCCAGTTGGTTTCTGAAGACAGCACAGACCTCAGGCCGTTCACATCAATATAGCCCCTGGCGGGATATTGACATGGTTTCAGGCTGGAGCACAGACCACCGACTTCTGCATGGCCCTGGATGATAGCATGGGCCACACACATCATACGGTTCCCAGCAGGGTGCGGCGACCCATTAGGTTGTGGGTGGTCATGGACCTGGTTAGCTCACCCCAACTGCTGGCTCTTGTGCTGGTACAACCACCCCAGGCCTAGCCCCATAAGCAACTCAATGAGCTTAAGTTTCTGTGTGAAAACTCAGATATAATAAATTCATATATATTTTGAATTCTAAATTTTAGCTCTTTAGAAGAAATCATCAAACTGGTATAAGTCAATTCATCTTAATCTAGATGAAGTCAGCATTTCTAGTTGTATCCTTTCTGCCTCCTCCTCGTCTGTGAAGTGATTTTCATGATGGTCTACATCATGAAGTATGTGAATTAAATATATGGTTATATGTAAACCAAATAGTGCCTGGACCAAAGAAAGGTGTCTGTAAATGTTGACCCTGCCACTCCCATGTCACTGTTGTCCCTTATTACATATGATGGTGGCAGTAGTGCAGAAGCAGGGTGCTGTGACGTGTGTCTGGCCCCTGGTTTGCAAGGTCTGTGTATGCAGGCATTCACGTTGAGAAGCCACCTTACTTTAAAGTTTACCGAGCAGTTAAGACCACATCCTGCCCACAGAGCTTCCTGGTTTCACTTTACCCTGAACCGTTTCTACACTGCCACATTTCCACATGAGAGACACTTAGCTTTAATTTGCAGTTCCCTGATAGCTAAGCACTTTTAGCCATTTTTATTTCTTCTTTTGAGAATTCTGTTCAAATTTACAGCCCATATCTTTCTTTCTTTCTTTCTTTCTTTCTTTCTTTCTTTCTTTCTTTCTTTCTTTCTTTCTTTCTTTCTTTCTTTCTTTCTTTCTTTTTTCCTTCTCT